ACTTTCATCAGAGCTTTCTTCTTTTGTTTTTCCTTTAGATATAGCTTCAACTCTTGGAATTCCAGTAATATGTCTAAGTTCAATAGGGACTTGAATTTTTATATTTTTATTTTTAATTTTCATTACTGATTTTTCCCAATTAATTTTTGCTTTGGCTTTGGATAGCCAGTCATTACCAACAATTACAGAGTATATATCAGTATCTGCAACTACAACATCAATTGGTAGGGAGTATTCACCAATTTTAATAGGTAGATTTTCTACTTTTCCAAGAGGTCTTCTCTTTTCACCATTTACATTTAATATTAAAGTTGTTGATGGTTTTGTAATTTTTAAGCCAATACGTTTGAGAAAATGATTAGAGATAATACTTTTAGCAGAACCACTATCAAGAATAATATTGGTAGTAACTCCATTAACATTGGCTTGACAATATAATGCTGTAGTCCTAAATTTTCCATCATCTGCATATTGAGCAGTAACCATAGGTTCTGGAGTAGATTTAATCTTTTTCTTTCGAAGACTTCTACTTAATTCTTTTAAGTATTTGGGGTTTTCAGCAGCAAGTTGAGCGATAGAGATATTTGCTTTGATTTGTTGTAAGTCTTCAACAATCGAGTATTTTGATACATTTTTACCAATTGTTGGTTTATGAAATCTTGGACCTTGTAGAGGATTTCTTTTCTTTTTAGCTTTAGGAGTTTTAGAACTTTCTGCTTGAGGATCATTTACTACAATATTTTAAACTTCTGGAGTTTCGTTTTCTTCTACTACTTTTCTTTTTTTTCCTACATAGGCTTTATTAATATTTTTATCATCTTCTTTTAAATACATTATAGAAGGGTTTGTATTGTCTTGGGAAGCATTAGGACCTTCTGTGTTCACTGACGCTGATTCAAGTTTAAATATTGTAAAAGAGTGGCTAATTGTTGTGTGAGTTGATTAGGATTATTATTATTATTATTATTATTATTATTATTTTGTGGTTGATTGTTATTATTTTGAACAGGGTTTGGGCGATTGTTGTTTCTGGGTTGTTTATTTCTAGGTTGATTATTATTATTTGTTGGAGGGTTTTTTGTTGGTTGTTATTATTTCTTGGGTTAGAACAATCCCAGACAATATGTCCAGATTAGAAATAATTAAAGCAAACAGGTCCTCTTTGATTGTTATTGTTGTTATTATTGTTATTATTATTGTTTTGGTTGTTTCTTCTAGGACAATTGTTGTTTTCTAATTTCTTTTCAATTTTCTTTTCAAGGTTTCCTACATTTATTGAGAGCTTCTATTATAATTTCAACAGAATTAGATGATGTAGGAGTTGGAGTAACAATATTGTTGTTAAGATTAGGAGTAATATATATTGCAGCACCATAACGAGTAAGTTCACAAGTTTTTGCTCTGTTAACTACTCCATCCCAAGTATTTTCACCAAATAGACGTACTGCTATTTGTAATTCTGTTCTTAAACCAGTAGTAAATTTACGAACTTTTTTTATTTCTAGATAAACATTGGCATTTGTTTCTAATCGACGATATAATTCATGTAGACGCATAGCATATTGGTCTACAGTTTCAGTTGGTCCTTGTATGCAGTGAGTTAGTTCGGTAGCCCAAATATCAATAAGGACAGGAGTTCGGAATCAGGTAAGAAAGCGAGGTTTAAAACTATCAACTTGATTTTGTGTATTCCAGTGTCCAAAAGCTTGTGGTTGATTGGCATTAGTATACCAAATTGCTACTTTATTTTTAAGATAAGCAGAGATAATTTGTAGTCTTCTTGCATCGGTAAAGTTGTTAGCTACAGCCATTCGTTCAAATTCCTCAATCCAAGTAACTGGATCTTGATTACCACCAGCAAAAGGTATAATTTCGATAAGTTTAGTTTCTCTTTGTCCGAGACGATTAGTATTATTAGTAACAGCATTTGTTTGATTTTGAATATGGTTATCTAGTGCTTGAATAGCATTAATTAAATTATTAATATCTTGTGCTTGTAATGCCATATTATTATTATTTGGAGGTAATAAAGGTGGAGTAATAGGAGGAGAAGGTACAGGAGTTTGATATAATTGTTCTAAATCAAATTCAGATAAATCAGAAGTTTCAGAAATTTCAGATTCTACTTCACTATGGTTATAAAAAATTAAAAAGAGATCTAAAGTAAATCGATTTGTTCGAAGATAAGCAGTATAGATTTGAATAGGTAAAGAATCAAATACTAAAGGAGTTAAACTTTGTTGATATCGAATAGTAAAAGTAAGGTTTTCAAAACGTTTTAAAGGTAAATTATTAATATTATATGCAATAATATCTTGAAAAACTAAGATAGTGTAATCAGAATATCGAATAACAGAAAATTCTGCAAAAAACCAAAACCAAAAATTAATAAAAGTATAATCTCTTTCTGTGTTTACAGGATAACAAATAGTACAAGAAAAGTTAGGAAGGTGTTGATTTAAATTTTCAAAAGTGTCAGGATTTAATATATATTCGTTGTGAAAGCTATCATGTAAATTGTTTCTTTGTCGAAATAAATCAAAGTTATCAGTCATTTAATACTTTAATCTAAATAAACATTAAAACCTTTTTGTTGTCAAAATTTTACTAATTCTTTTATTCCGTCAGAAGAGATAATATTGTTATTAAATTCTTGTTCGTAGAGGTTTAAATTATTTTGTTGATAATTTGTATAAACAATATTAACAACTTGTAATTCAGTAGAATGAGGGAGATTATAATGGATTTTAGTAGGGTTGTTTGGATTTGGAAATTCAAGATAATAGGTTTGTTGATGAGTATTTTCTTCAGGAAACTCTTGTTCAATTATATCTTAATCCCAAAGTTGAGGTGGATTATATTTAGATTTGCTGTTGGCCCAAGAAAAACCACAATATTGAGTATATAGACAAAGAAGTTTAGTTTCTTCTGAAGTAAGAATAGATCCTTGTTGGAAGAGAGTAATAACTTGTTTTATTTGGTCAATTAGAGTTTGATGTTGTTTGTCAGTTGGAATATATCCAAAATATTCTCGAGAGAAGTTAAAATGTTGTTGGTTAAACATAAAATAAAGGAGAATAAAAGTGTTTAGAGAAGAGAATAAAATAAGATATGTTTATAGATAAGAATTTTAATAAGAATAAATAAGGAAGATAATAAAAAATAAAGATAAAGAATAGATAATAAGATGTTAAAAGATAAAATAATAGAGAATAAGACGAATAGAAACCAAGAAAATAGAAGAGTAATATAAGAGAGATATGATAAAAGAAACTTAAACAATAGAAAGAAATATTCCTTTTAAATATTATGTTTTCGCCAGGAGGCACCAAATGTTATTGCTCTATTTTTGTATAACTAGGCTCAAGTTGGAAACTAGCAGAAGGAAGCAATAACTAGCAGTTCGATTTAAAGAACTAAAGCAGAGAGTAATATTTAAAAGGTAAAATTATAATAGAAGAATAACAAACTGATAAAGTGGAGTATATCCTTATTAGATTCAAAGGAGTCCAAACTTAGTTCAAGCAATACAGCGAACACTATTAGACTCTGGGAATCCAAACCTTATATACTCTAAAGATATCAAGAAATGACAAGAAAAATAACAAGAACTCAAGGAAAATGCCAATTTCTAAGAAGACAATAGTATTTTATTATTAGCAATCAAAAGTGAGAACTTATACAAAGTTATTTTAAGAAAGGAAGAAAAGGGAGGCTATTTATAATGTTTTGGGACTATGTAGATGTTAATTTAACATCTATCTATCATGTGACGTATATAGGGTTACATGGTACATCACATGTTACATCTAATTTAAATTTCGTTATGCTAATTAGTAAGTTCTAGAACGTTTATCAAAAATCGCTAATAACTAAAAATTTTACTATGACAATCAATCTAGCTTATTAAAATAAAAATGTTTTATGACCCAAAATAGGGGGGTTTGCTAATGTGCAGTAATGGGTTTTTGCATTAGTTTTTGAGATATTAGATTCTGAATATGAACATTTCCTATACTCACTCATTAATTACTAATATAAATGATATAAACGATAATAAATAATAGTACTAATGATAATAATATATAATGATAATATAATAAAATATTGATAAAAATATAATAAGAATATAATAAAATATAAGAAAAAGAAAAGAAAAAGAAAAATATTAAAATTCGATGAAATTTTGAGGTACTACAATATATTTGTTTGACTTAACTGGCAACGACACATTTTATTATTATTATATTAAATATTTAGTTAAGCCAAGCAAGCATATTACAGTACATATAGAGAACATTTATTAATTACAAACTACAAACAAGTTCACAAAACAAGGACCTAAATACTCACTTACCATTAGTCCAAATCATTTTATTAGCATTAATTTTGCTGCTTTAAGTATAAAGAACATTTATTTTGGTTTAGGCCACAGATAAACTAATCTGAGTTTCTTTTCTTGTTATTTTAGGATATGGAGTTTAAATATATTCTTTTCATTGTAAGAGAATCGAATTAAATTTCAATAAAGATAGAGACATAGTCTTACTATTAACATTCAAAAAAAGAATATTTATTAACAAATATAATTAAAAACAGTATAACAAATTTGCAAAACAAGATCATAAATACTTATCATTACGTTCAAATTATTTATTAGAATTAATTTCGCTGATAAGTATAGAGGACAGTTATTAATGAATAGAATTAAGAATAAGTTTACAAAATAAGAACATAAATAATCATTTACCATTATGTCCTGATCATTTTATATGCATTAATTAATAGATATATACCAATTAGAGAATAGAAATAAAATGAAATAACAAATTAATAAAACAGTATAACAATTTCACAAAAAATAAGAACACAAATACTTACTATTATGTTTAAATTATTTTTTTTTTATAATTCGGCTGTCCTGCCACTTTTTATTGAGATTAAACTATACTAAGAAATTTACATTCCCTAATA